ATACATAGAAACCCTACAAATTAAGCATGTAAAGTTGAAGTTAAAAGTGTGTGATTCCGTCACAATTATGCGTGATTCCGTCACAATATTGTGTGATTCTGCCACGCACCTTAAAAATTCATTCATAAAAACAATATATCTAATATTTATACAATTATTCTAAATTTTAAATATTAAGATAACATGTAGTTATTTACTTTGATGTTTGCCAAAAACAATAATAAAATAAAGTTTTGCAATTATTTAGTGACGGAATCACAGCAAATCAATGAAATACAATATCGATTTAAATTCAGTAAAGTTAATAAATTTACCAAAATAGTTTCTAAAAACTAATTTTACATATTTACTGTACAATATTTCTTTTCTAAAAGGATACCATTCTTACCTGTTGATGTGTTTTATAACATTAAATAATGAAAGATATATTGTAGTAGCATTTTCCACAAAAAATTCCCAGGCAATTTTTAAACATACCTCGGTTTCACTAATTACCATAAACATTAATTAGCAAACTTATTTATTCATTTATTTAATATTTTCTTGTGATCATATACATATTAAAGCTAATTAGACCATAAATTTACTGTAAAAAATTAGTTTATAAAATCAAGTTAAGATTACGATTTTCATAGAATTCATGATGTACAGTTTATTTTCATAATATACAGTTTGTTTTATGATATACAGTTGAAAAACCCATCTTGCCCCATTTGCCATGTTGCCCCGCTTTCTTTTATACAAAAATTATTTATAATTATTATTTTAAATGGTAAGAGTCATTTTAAGATGATCTACTTGTTTATTTATATCGGATTTTTCCCACCCTATATAAATACTTTTTTTAATTTTTAATTCAATATTTTTATTGGCACAATCTGAAGTCAAAAAGCATTCATCACTATAATTAATAAAAAAAATTTCTTTTAAGCGAAGATATACATTAAAGACATGAATGATTGAACATTAGAGAAGGGATAAAAATTCATTTATAAGCATAAATGAATTTTTATCCCTTCTCTAATGTTCAATCATTCATGTCTTTAATGTATACAGGGGCGGATCCAGGGTGTCGCCACTTATGCGTGTGCATCAGTCTTTTTACACTGCAAAATTTAATCGTGATTCTTTTTCACTTTTTTCCCTTAATTAAAAGTTAAAGTAGAAATTAGAATCTGATATTTAGAAAAAATGAAAAATTTTAAAAATCGAAAAAAATTATTAAATCTAAACTTGATTTTATTTGATCTCTATAATTACTTATTCGTTACTTAGACAAAATTTCTCTGTTTTGGAGTAACTGATGCGATCATAGTCATAATAACAGATGCATTTTATGACTGTGATGTATTTTATGACTATAATGTTGGATGTATTTTATTTTATGACTATGACATTATATGTATTTTATGATTTTGATGCAATTGTTCATTACTAAATACAAATGTGATTGGTTAAAAAATATATATTTTACACCTTAACCTTTCTTTTTCGCTTATATTTACAAATTTTTCTGATTACTTTAAAACAAGCGATGCAAAACTTGTTGCATTTGTACTCTAAATCATAAATGACTAGCTGTCATGACCCGTACGATACGATTTGTGGCAAGTCTAATCCACACCCGACTTTTTTTATACTTGTTCCTAATTTAGTCTTTATACTTTAATTAACGGCAAAAAATAAATCCGTTTAAAGTACTGGTAGTTAGTAAAATGCGAACTTTTATGCATTAAAATGTTTTGGTTCGCTAAAGAGTAAACAGTTTGGGTTTTACTGATTACCTACAGTTCTTGATTTCTAATTTACTGTTCTTTAGAACTAATTAGTATTTTACTTATTACATTATTATTTATTTACTTTAATATTTTCTACATAATAAAAGTATCTTTAGCATTTAAGTTTTGCGTGCAACTTAGGCTATGATAATATTTTAACTCTCTTATAAGGATTTATTTAAAAAGCAAATTTGGACATTGAAAAATGGACCTAAGAGACCTAGTTATTTCAAATAAGTTACCTTTATTTGTTTGATATATTATACAAAAGCCTTCTCAGTGGGCATGAACGTAAAAAAGACGTTTAAAACGTCTTGTACACGTCCTTTTTAGGTCCGATGTCCAATGGGTTTCTGTAAAAAAAACTCTTAAATTATTTGTATAACTATGAAAAATTTATATAATTGTTGAAAGATATTAACAATTATACTGTTTTAATTGCGGAATTAGCTGTGGTGACCCGTACGATACGGGTCGCAGCAACTCTATTCCACATCCGGCTATTTCCAAACTTGTTCTTAGTTAGGTCTCTACACCTTAAGTAAACAGCAAAAAAATAGTCGATTTAAACTTTTTGGTTAACAATTGACTTAATATACTTTAGAAACTGTACTTATTTACTTAATGTACTCCAATATTTTATACATAAAAGAATCTTTACCATAATAGAGGCAGTTGCGTAACAATCCTTCAGGTGTTTTTCAAAATTTAAGCTATAATCAAGATTTTAGCCTCTTATCAAGATTTATTTAAAAATAAATTTGGACATTAGAAAACGGGTCTAAGAGACTTGTTATTTTAAATAAGTTAGCTTTATCCGTTTGATACTTTTTAAAAAACGTTGCAGTAAAAAACAAAACTGTCATTCAATTAAGCTGTTTTTACATCCGAAGTTATTAAACATGTTGTTTGTGCTAATCAATACTTAATGCAAATGGAAACTTCGATTACAAAAGACGATTTTAAGTATAAATGGTTTCTATTCATATATATAAAAAACAACAACAACAACAACAAAAAAAAATGCAAAAATGATCAATATATCCATTTGAAACAATAAATCCAAAAATAAAAAAATATAGATATATACTTAAGAAACAAAAAACATATTTTTCTTGAGATAAAATAAAAATATAAACTTTAAAAAAAACTACCAAAAAAATATTATATTTAACAAAAAGTAACAAAAATACCAAAAAAACAATTTAAATTGAAACATTGTTTCATTATTATTAGGCTTTAGGTAAGCCATAATCAAGTCAGCCATAAAAAAAGAAACTTGCCCTAAAAATGGAACAAAATTATTTTAAACATAATACACATTAATTACAAATTAACGTGTCATGCAATCAATTAATTTGAAAAAAATTTAATTTTTTTCAAATTAATGCAATTGCAAATTAATTAATTTTAAAGAAATTAGTTTAGTTTAAAGAAAATTAGAGTTACTGGGAGTATAATATATAAAAAAAAGCTTAAGTGGAATTTCAAAATTAGTTTATATTGTTGAGGGTTGAGTTATCCTGAGTTTATTGAACATATTTAAACTTTTAACTGCACACACTTATAAAAACATACATAAACATTTAAAAAACATAAATCTTTTACTTTATATAACACATATATTAACATATAGGAAATAACACATTATAAGCAATTACCACATCATGAGACATATTAATACCTATCAAAAACCATTACAAACATCACATTTTAAAAATTAAATATTATTTGTACAATATACATTCAATGACATACCTTGTAGTGCATGTTAATCAAAGTTATACAATAAATTATAAAATGTCTTGGTTCTGGAACATGCTACATAGAATTTGGTTGTGCGAAAACCAAGACCCTTTGAGATTAGCATTAACTTTATCAAATGTTTGACTGTAACTTTTATTTCTTGTCCATGAGTACTGTTAATAAAAGTGTTTTTACTTAAATGATTCAAATAATTTGATGGCATTAAAATTAATGGGATAAATTAAAGAACAACACAAAAATTATGTAATAAAAATATATTAAAAAAAAAAGGTTACAAAAAAAAAAAAAAAAATTGTGGCACAACAGTTGTAAACCTAAAATGTGAAGAAACTACTTACAACTGCTGCGCCACGCCTTCTCCTCCCAGCACCCCCTCTTTCCCTGGTGTTATATAGGATGCTATCCCTCCATCTAAAGGAAAGATGGTCTTGCCCATACTTGCACCAGCGATAAAATGCCCTCTGGGATAGAGGGCCGGGATGCTTGGAGAATGCTGATTCCCATGATTTCAAGTCTGAAAAAAAAAATATATATATATATAAATAAATCTACCAAGGTGATACTTACAAAAAATCTACTATAAAAAAATAAAAGTAATAAATCTAGTAAAGTACAAGTGAGCACAACAACTTATTTATTATACTCACTTGTACTTGACTTATTACATTAACTAACTAAACTGGAAAACACATCTGTAGCTATATTAAAAAACGAAAGGTACAATAAAGTGAAATAGCCTAATGGCAAGTACAAAAACTTACTTTTTGAATTTGAAGACACAGAAACTGAAATGAAATAGAAAAATTAAAAATAAAATAAAATTAACCAGTCAATGTAATTTGTCAAGTATAAGTGAATAGAACAACTTACTTGTACCAGAAGAAGCAGCAGCTAGATATAAATAAAAGAAAATTAAAATTGCAATAAAACTAATCAAATAATGTAATCAGTCAAGTATAAGTGAGTACATCAACTTACTTGTAACAGAAGAAACAGCTAGATATAAATAAAAGAAAATTAAAAATGCAATAAAAACAGTCAATCAATGTAATAAATCAAAATAATTCAAGTGAGACAACAACTTACTTGTAACAGAAGAAGAAGTAGCAGCAAGAGATAATTAAAATGAAACTTAAGATGCAATAAAAAACTATTAACTGACATAATCAGTCAAGTATAAATTATTTATTATAACTTTTATCAGACATAGAATATAATATAGTTACTTACTAATGTAGTCTAAGATGATATCTAAAAAAATAGGCCAAAAAGTATAAAGCCCAAAATAATTACAAATTGAAATTTTTTTAAATAGATGAACAAAACAAAGAAAAAATTTACAAAATACATTTAGTTTAGCTTAACATTAAATAAATTTAAGTTTTTCTTACATTAAAAAAAAAAGGAAAAAAAAATTAATTATGTTGGTACAAAATTAAAATATTAAAATGCTGACTCAAGCCAATCTCATTATTTTTTATTTAATATAAACAAAAAAAATATAATGAAATTTTGCTTACTAACTTTACTTTTTAAATTTTCTAAATAAACAAAATGTATAAAAATTAGTTCATAAATTTAATCGCAGTAAGATAAACTTCAAAAAAAAAACTACAAAGAAAAACAAAAAGATGAATAAAAATGGGAACTTTGACTATCGAGAAAATTTCCAGGCAAAAAAAGTACTGAATCCACCTCTTCTGCTCTCATCTCCTGCGCATCTAAAAAATACACACAATACAATATACATTTATCATATATATGATAAAACACTACATCTAGTCTAGAAAATAAATTCATAGTTTCTTGTTTAAAAACAAAGAAGCATTTTTTCTTATTTCAAGATTTGATATATAGTTATAATAATGAAATTGCACTTATTAACATAAAACCTGATCTATTTTCAATATTAAATAGCTGCGTAATAAACCTTAACAACAATCAAATCACAATTACTATACAAATATTTGGAAAAAAAATAAACTACTCATTTCTATATACTTAAAATAAATTTTTAAAAATTATCTCTTTAATATAAAAATATAAATTGTATATAAGATATTATTGTATACTTACTTCTAAAGAACTCTTTCTCATCGCCTAAAAAGAGAATTACTTGTTTGTATTTTATTTGCAACAAACAAAATCATAGTATCTCAGTGGAAATGACATCGAAAAAACGTCTTTTTAGGATGTCCAGAACTAGTTCAAATTGGCAACGCCAGATGACCTCTTTTTAGGACGTAATTAGAAAGTCTTTTTAGGACGGAATAAAGACATGTTTTTCAGACGTCTAAAAGATGTGAATTTAGGACGTTCAGAACTAGTGCTAAATGGAAACGCCAAATGACGTTTTTAAATAACCTAATTTAGCCGTCCTCATTTCGACATGTCTTTACATGACTTTACTCAAACGTAAGGTTAAAACTTATGTTTTTACTTAACATTTTAAGAAAAAGTAAAAAATAAAATTTTGCGTAAACTTTTTAATAATATACTTGTGCTAAGTTGTATAAATTATAATTTTTTTAAACTTCTTCATCCACTTGTTATTTTCCGAGAATCGACTGTACGAACACTTGACGTCATTCATCTTCATTTAGATCAGGTGCGGGCTTTAGGTCATTGCCAACATCATTTTAAAGTTCTTTTTTGCTCTAGGAATCGTGTAAACAGTATTAAACCTAAAATAATTGTAAAGATAAGTATGTAAAAATAAAGAAGAAAGGAATAAATAGAACATTTATAATACACTTTATGATGTTTATATATATATATATATATATATATATACATATATATATATATATATATATATATATATATATATATATATATATATATATATATATATATATATATATATATATATATATATATATATATATATATATATATATATATATATATATATATAAATATATATATATATATATATATATATATATATATATATATATATATATATATATATATATATATATATATATATATATATATAAGCACTAGTATAAGTGATATGGGGCAATTTAGTATAAGTTATATTGGGCATAGGATAATTCATTAGTGTTTTAATCAATTCGATAACATTGTGTATGTATATTTACAAATCAAAATTTGTTATGAAATTTAACTTAAAAATTTATTAACCTCGTCCTTTGAAAGGGAAAATGCTCTTTTTTTCTTGCTGAACTGACTAGGTAGAGTATTGTGGAGTACTAAACAAATAAGTTTATAAAGAAAAAAAACCTATACAATTAAAATAACTTCCAAAATACTTATTACAAGAAAAAATATTACTTATATTAATCTTTGAAAAACTTTAAGATTTATCACTGACTTTATCAAAGCTTAATTTTGAATTACAGACAATCCAATTCGAAGGATCTGAATGAATTAAAGAAGTTGTTACTTACAAAAATTCATTAAGCATATTACATTATATATATATATATATATATATATATATATATATATATATATATATATATATATATATATATATATATATATATATATATATATATATATATATATATACATATAAATACATATATATATATATATATATATATATATATATATATATATATATATATATATATATATATATATATATATATCTTTATATATATATCTTTATATATATATCTTTATATATATATCTTTATATATATACCTTTATATATATATATATATATATATATATATATATATATACATATATATATATATATATATATATATATATATATATATATATATATATATATATATATATATATATATATATATATATATATATATATATATATATATATATATATATATATATATACTTATATTTATACTTATATACTTGAGAACTCCCTTGAAATATTGTATAAAAATCAACTCAAAAAATTAAGAGTTAAACAAGAAGTTTTTATGACCAATACATATATATTATATATATATATGTTTATAAATAATATTTTAATTAATAAGTAAAATAAAAATTTACTGTTTTTTTTTTCCAAGGATATTTAAGGTTTTTAAGGAAGATTGGGAACCCTGAATATATATGACAATAATCAATTGACTGCATATTGAAACTTTATCAGCAAACATTGTTGCATTGTTGTAGTGGATTTGCAGTTGACCTATAAAGGTATTCTTAGCAGTTAAATAAAGTTTAACTCATTATTTACTTAGTAAATTACTTAAGTGGCCAGATGATAACATTCTAACAAGTGATATAGTGGTTATTTGTGTTATTGACTATTGGGTGCTAATGGTCTATTAAGTATATGATGACCAAAACTGCAACCACCTAAAATGCCTATATAGGTCCACTGAAATTCCTCCTGAAAATGTTTGTTGTGTTATATATATTTTTACTCAATGTTAAAACTAAAAAACGTAAATAATCAAAAATTTATTCATATAAAAAAAATATCAACTCTTTTGAATCTTTAAATACATTTTTCTCATTCTAATTTGAAATTGGATAAATAACTAAAAAATAAATTTTATTAAATAATAAATATAAATTTTGATTTTAATTATAATTATTTATTTGGAATTTTTGAAGAACAAAAAGTAAAATAGCGAAATTAACTACATCTATTTTCAAAGGATTATTTAAAGCAGGTTTTGAAATGTCTGGTACAACTAATGTCTTTATTCTTTTGTGTGATTTTTTTATTTGGATAAGTTTCAAATGAGTTTAGTTTAAAAAACTAAACCAGTCGTAAGAGATAGGTGTGTAAAAAATTTCCTTATTAAACACAATTATTCCTTCATAAGTTTCATAAATGGAACACTTTTCCCAAAAGTTGTAACCATTATAAGATTTTATATAGTTTTTATTTATATTTTTTATTGTATAGAAAACCATTTTATATTATTGAGTTGAATCAAAGAAAAAAATAGATAATTAGTTAGTGAATTAGGCTTGGTCTTACTACAATAAATGCCAACTATAAAAATATTAATATAATCAAAGCAAGCTAATATTGGCCACATTTGTTTACAAGAGAATTTAAATAAAGATAAACCATCAAATATAAAACTCAAAAATAATATGTTCTTAATACTTGCCTGTATTTCAAAATAAGAGTAATTATTACCACACTTTTTAGGAAAAGTTAATAACTGATGCATATAAAGTTTTAAAAACCCCTCTAGACATAACTTAGTTATATCTCTAGGTGTTTTCAATAATTTTTCTTTCATCTTCGCGAAGTTCCAAACCTTGATTTTGTAATATTTCAAGAAGTTCATTAACTAATGTACTGGTCCGATTGTTTTATAATATATATATTTTTATACATATATATAAAAAATATATGTATATATATATATATATATATATATATATATATATATATATATATATATATATATATATATATATATATATATATATATATATATATATATTATATTATTTATATTACATATATATAATATAATATATATAAACATATATATAATTCTATAAAAAGTTATAGCGTTTTTTTAGTAGCAAATTTTCGATATATGGATTTATTAAAGAAACTAGTTCCAAAATTTTTTTTTTTATGAAATTGTTATAACTTTGTCAAATCTTATCCAAATGTCTATACCTTGGTATCAAAAGATAGATGTAAGAGTAGGCTACAAGTTTATATAACTCTATAGATAAAACTGTTGTCTAGAGGGCCGGAGGGGGTATTAAACACCCTCGTAACCTTAAAAAAAATACAAGTTTTTTACACTAAAAAGTGTTTTTCTGATAAAATATGTCACCTTTATACACAAAAAGTTGTTCCAATTTGCTTCCATTCCCTTTCCAAATATTAGTGGTCTATTTTAGAATAAAGGGTCGATGTCTTTGTTACGTTTTAACACCCTCGTAGTGAAATGTTCCATTCTTATAAATACTTTAACCTAAAAAACACTGATTATATTATGTGTTAAAAAGTTTTAATTGTATTGTCTTACTTTACAGCATTTAAAAGTGTTGTATATATTGACTTAATGGCTGGGATGTGTGCACCGCACAACACCCTCTCCCCCACCCCCCAGTTTTCTCCAACCTAAAAAAAAAATTTAAAAGAGATTTGATAAAAGGTTTTAAATTGAGTTTATTGAAAAAAAGAAATTAGTATACAAGATTATTTTACTAAATTAGTTAGGGGAGGAGTGTGTGCCACGACTAACGCCCCTCCCCCTGCCCCCGCCCCCTACTTATTCAAACTTCAAAAAAATGTCTATAAAAATTCAAAAACTTTTTTAAATTGCATTTAATTAAAAAGAGAGACATAACTTTATAAATCTTACATTACACTTTTTTCAGTGCATCCGAAAACATAACTCCACTATTTTTTGGACCCATAAATCCTTTAAAAATATATATATAAAGAGTTAATATACCATAGTTTTAATTAAATTTTTTAAAGTTTAAAAAAATAATATATAATAATTTGTTAACAATTAATAACATAATAATACAACATGTAAAAAAAGTATTAAATAATATAGACTTAAAAAATCTCATGCATATCTTCTACAAACAAGTATTGGTTACATAAATATTATATTTAGAAACTGTAAACAAGTTAAAATGGTTTAAAATCAAATAATTAAACTGGTTTGAAATCAAATAATATTACTTAACTCAAACAAACAGTAAACAAACTAAACAAAAAAAAGAATAGCAATTAAGCATGCAAAAGATATTTTATATTAATCAACTCAATAAAACATTACACATAAATTTAAAACATTTAATATGGGCTATGAAATCCTAAAAAAATCCTAAACGCATTTAAAAGTCAATAACTATTTATAGTTACAACTTTAATACTTTTTACACTACAAATTTTAATCACATTGAAAACATACAGAATATTTCCCTAGCAAACTATTACACCTGTCAATGCTAGCTCCCAGCAACCCTATTAGGAGGATGATAGGCCTAGCTGAATGATTTACCATCATTCCCTCCTAAACGGGCCCATCACAAAAATGACCGATTGCTAATCGTTCCAGGGTGCTGGTTCCTATATCTCCTATAGGCACGATAGGTAAGCTCTAAATGACAATAAATTGTTACTAAATTCGTATTGAATGGCATTACATAACATTTAATATAAACCAATTATTTGTAATAATAATAAACCAATGGTAGCTTGAAAAATGTTAATTAAAGTAAAAAATTAAATACTGCTCTGGATTTTACTTTTACTGCACTTTGAAGAATAACATAATACAAATGTATTAATTAGTGAACATAAATAAAAATTTACGAATTAAATAATCATTCAGAAACATTTCTAAATCATAAATTTACCAGCAGAAGGTTGTGCAGATTGTTGTGGTCGTGGGATTAAAGTTAAAAATTTTTTTAAAATAAAACTACAATTTATTTGCAGTCGATAAGATAGGCATAGACATATTAGAAACAATACTTTTACACAAATTATGCATACACATATTAAAAAATAATAGTTTATAAACTTACCAATTGTAGCAGCTAAAGATATAACTAAAGGTTAACAAAGTTGAAATAAAAATAAATATTGTGAAGAAATGCCAAGAAATGTATTAACATATTGAAAAGTAAAAGTTTGTAAACATGCCAATTATAGCAGATATAGATGGAACTAAGTTATAAAAAAAGTAATAAAAAATAATTATTGCAATTAATCAGAAATACATACATATATGAACAGGTTTTTTGAAGGATGCAATAAAAATATTTTTAAGCTTACCACATAATGCAGTTGAGGATGAAACTACAGCTAAAAAGTTTAAAAAAATATATATTTGCACTTGTCAAGAAATGCAAACATTAAAAAGAAATAGTTGTTAAACTTACCACTCATTGTAGATGAAGATGTTGCTAGAGGTAAAAAAAGTAACAAAAAATAAATATTGCAATTGACGAATTTGAAATTGGTATTAAATCTATTTACAGATTAAAAAGTACTAGCTTTTAAAATAACTATCCGTAGCTGATAAAAGGAGCGAAGATCAATTATAATATAAGGTAACCCAAGATATACATGCTTATATTTAATATTCAAATAATCCTACACAAACTTACCAGTGATAGGCTAGGTAGTTAATACTTAATACTATATATAATAATATATAACTTAATAATGTGTATAATAATAATTTATAATATATAACTTAAATAAAATCTGGGTTATTACTGGGATTGACATGGGGCTTCCGTAAATGGTTTACAGCTGGTTTGAAGATGGGATGCATGGTTTAATGGTAGCGTGTATTTTGTAATCAAAGCAGTTTTTTGGCATCGTTTTTAGTGAAAAGATTTGTTGAAATAAAATTACAAAACTCTTCTAAAATGTCATATGCAGTAGCGTGGCTTGATTTAGATTGAATATACACTTGCATTTGGAGTAAACATACACAGGAACTTCATTTGTTTTTTTTTATTGTATTTTTGTAAAAAATATTTACATATCAGTTTTAATTCTGTACTAAAAGTGAAAATATCTTAAAATCAATATTTATTCATCCATTTAAAATATGATTTCACACACAAAGGAAAATATGACATGCTCTCCAATTTCTTAAATGCCCTGCATTTAAGAAATTTGAGAAATGAAATTTTAAACTGAAATTCAGACTGAATTTCTGAGCTATGTTCTGAACTAAGTTTGAGATATGTTAACGCTTACTTTTTTTTGGACTTGTAAAATGTTTTATCAAGCTGAAGGCATATACTGTAACTATGCAATATACAAATGTTGAAAATTTTTATATTAATGGCTTAATTTGTTTAATTTAATTTTTTTTTTAAACAAATCTCAAAGACTTTTTGAAAAACCTTTGAATTTGCTACCTTAAATTTGCTATTTGGTATGTTTTCTAAAGTGACTTTGACAAATTTTTTTTTCAAAACATAGCAAAGTTTTACTATATAACACTGCCGTATGTAAACTTTACATATTATTTATTTTTACATAAATCATTCAATAAATAGTGTATTTATAAATAATATGTTCATTTAACATACTTATAAAAAAAAATTAAAATCATACATTTATTAAATGTAAGATTTTAAATATTTTATAAACAATAAAAAATATATTTCTTATAGTATAAGTAATATTTTATCAAATATGTAACTTATAAAAAATCTTAAATCTTACATTTATTATTTAATTATGCATTTATAAATGATATCTAAAGTTGCATTTGGAGTGAACAGGAACTTAATTTGGTTGATTTTTAGTATTTTTGTAAAAAATAATTATATACAAATCAGTTTTAATTCTATAATAAAAGTATAAATATTTTAATAGCAATACTTTAACATTCATTTAACAAACGATTATACAAAAAAAAAAAAAAAAATTGTGGCATACTCTTAAAATTCTTAAATGCTCTAAATTTCATAGCCATTAATAAGTTTGAGAGTATGTCAAGGTTTACTATTTCACAGACTTTAATATTTTATCAAACTGAAGGCATATTTTTTATATTTTTATGCGATAGACTGTTGAAAATTTTTTATATTGGTTTATATGGTTTGGTGTGCTTACAGTTATTGCTTAGTCACTAAGTTAAGAAAACATAATACACTGTAACTTAGTTATATATTATCATAATCATATAAGTTACATATTATTATACTTAGTATACAAATAAGTAGTGCGTTTTGTTTTAAATTATCTTTTTCAAGCAAATCTCAATGTCACTTTACAAAATATGGTAAGGTTTTATCAAGTAACAATGCTATATCTAAACCTAACATATTATTTATAAATACATAAATTACATTTTCTATAAGTTATATAATTAATAATATACTTTTATATTATAAATACTGTAACTGATATTGTAAGTTATAATATTAGGTTTTATATGAAAAAAAATCAAAAATTGTTAGGTGTTTTAATGTTTAACTCTACTTATCTGTAATAATAAAAAAACATTTGTTTAGGATAGAACCTTTTTTCTTTCTAATCACATTTTGTTTGAATATATTTATTTATTAAATACATTTTTTTAATTCTTTAAAATAAAAAAGTGTATATATTTTGATAGAAGTATTCAGATATTTGTTTAAGAAACAACTTGGCAAGTTTAAAAAAGGGAAATGTTGAGTTTTAAGATGTTTCTTAATTAATTATCACAGGATGTTATATAATTATTTAAGAATATTTTGTGAAATAAATTAAATATAAAATGCTACTCAAGTACAATATAAAATTAAAAATGTAGTTTTGATACTATATATTGCAAAAACTGAATGTTTGAATAATCATGAGTGTTTTGTATTTTTCATTTGCTATAATAAGTCAATTTCATTGTGTTATTATATGATATCATATAGTCATATATATTATGTTTAATTACAAAGTTATAAAAAAGATATCAAATTTTTTTGGTGACACATTTTTTATTTATGTTATTTTTGTATAAAACTTTATTAAATTTTAAATTTTAATAAAATTTTATTAAATTTATTTAAGAGGTTCGATAGTATCTATGTTTTATTTTTAGAGTTGGTTTATGTTGATTTATGAATAACAACAGAAAATACAATACTTCAACAAATGTTAGTTTTTTACACATAAAAGTTATGTAAAATCTCCTATGAAATGATTCATCTAAATCTAGTAAGTTTACACCTAATCTGACAACATTATTTTGAACATTTTTGTTTCAGAAAGTTCAGAAAACTTTTAATTTCCCCGAGTTTCCCTTTTTCAAACTATTAATTTACAGAGTTTGATAAAATAAACAAAATAATTTCTGTATATTAAAAATATATAGAATTTGCAAAATATACAGATTTTTCCTGTTATTGACCTGGGCTTCTGTGAATGAATAAGTTCTGTGAATAGAAGATAGGCTGTGAATCACTTGGAAATGTGAATGTTATTATGATAGCACATATTTTTAGATCAAGAATAGTTTGTATTACGTTTGTTTTTATTTTTATTTTCATTTATCAGTTGATTAGTAGAATAATATTTACTAGTAATAATATTTATATATTAAATTAAATAGTGTATGTTATTCATGCAATATGATTTCAACAGCCTTGGTCGGGAAGCAGGAGCGATCGCTCTCAAATACTGACCACGGAAATTATATTTAGTTGCGAAAAACTAGCCAGGTTTTTTATTCGTTTAGAGAACATTTAAATCTAAGTACGAAACAAAAAATTTTTGTTTTACGGACATACATGGAAACGTAAAAAACTTGGTGCGGAAGAATAAAAAGAATATTCGCGAACACTAATAACCCGCAAAATTAACGAACAAACTAATTCAATATGTTCAAAAAATACGCTGACTTAGCGAAATAAAGTTCTAGAGTATTTTGTTAAAATATTTTAGAAATTGTATTAGCCGGTTTTGAAATTAATTCGATCTAGGGAAAAAAGTAAAGATGGTTACTCTGTTTTAAAAAAACCAACTAAACAATACTGTTGTTGCTACTATTAGTTCATAATTCATGACGATTAAAAATGTAAATGATTATAAAAGATAGAAAAAAAGTCTTATGTGGTACTTTTGAGTAGTTGCGAAACAAAATGTAAATGTATTTACGTTATTTAAAGCTAAAACAAACTGAAACCTAATATGCCACTGAATATTGGGCGGACCTGTGCACGGCGCACCCTAAACTCGTTAAATCTCGGAACGAATATTCTCGGTGTTCCATTTTGGTATTTTACAGATTAGGCGCTAAAATATAACGTTAAATCGTGCCGTAATGGTAACGTCAAAAATAAAAAAACTTTGCGTAAATGCATTTTAATAAAAATTTAACATTTTAGAAAAAAAACAAAATTTTACATATATACATTAAATATTAGATTAAATAGATCTTCCAGAGGTATCTTCTCTTCTTAAGATTTCTTTTCGTAGCTTATTTTTTTTTAATCGATCTTCTAAAGGTATGTTCTGGTAGCTTTTCTTATTTACATATCTTTTTGTGGCTAATCTTCTTTTAATCGATCTTCTACAGTTATCTTCTTGTAGCTTATCTTCTTTGCATATCTTTTTGTGGCTTATCTTCTTTTAGTTTTTGCAACGTATATTTTGTGTTGTACATAAAAAAAAACAAGTTCAATATAAATTTATGAAACATTTTCAATGTAAATATTATATTATAATACTTACTTTACATTACAGATGATATCTATCATTAATATGTTTTAAGAATAAAGAGAAATTTTCCCAAACAGTTTTATTATAAAAATCATAGTATTCTCTGCATACAGCTTCATCTAGCCTAGACCACTTTAAATCACCCTGTGATCTAAAAACATACTTTAACCTTCGTTTCATCCGACACCAAAACGACTCAATATGATTTGTTGTTGCTCCAGTGTCAGGATCAACAAAGTTTATTGTATGGTTTACAGTGAAATGATTGTTACCTAAGTTATTTAAATTAGCATAAGAAGCCCACTGATCTGAGTGTATTATTGATCTAGGTGCAACCGATTGTTGAATTATTGGCACTAATGTCTGAGCTGTTCGATCTTCTACCCTTTTTAAGTATCCTTTCTTACTAGTTACATCAAATGGCCCAAAAATCCAATGTTTTTCAACGTTATGCCCAACATTATATTTTCGTTTAAAAAATAAAGATTCATCTATCTCTACAATGGCCCTGGACCACCTAATTGATTTACAGTAGCAACATCAATAGTTTTAAATAAACAAGTATCCCGGAAGTATTGATACCACTGAATTGAGGTTTTTACCGAATATTGTTATTGAATAGCAAACATTTATTTTCAATGCAGTCTCACTTAAAATACCTAAAATTATAGCTGAACGATCATCAAACAAGATGTTTTACGATAAGAAAATTAGGAAGATATTGATTACAAATTTTGTAACCAAAAAAAGGAGAGGAATTTCGGACTTCCTAAAAAAGCATAAAGAATCTTATAAAGTTGCGAATCTATAAGTATAAAATTATATAGCTACTACTTGAGATCAGTTTTTTACTTTTTGATTGATTTAATCCTGAAATAGAACATCGCAGTTGTCCTGTTAGTTCTAGCAAGTTGTGTACTAAGTTTGCTTACTTTCACTTTTGTGTTTTTGAATACAATAACAATAAGAAACTAACTACAATGAAAACTATAAAAGAAAAAAGGTTCTATCCTAAACAAAACAGTTACCAAGTGTAACCAATTTTTAAGATTGTGTCCAAAAAAAAAATGATGACATAATTGCTATATCAGCAAATCCAGAACTAAACTTTTTTTAAAAGGATGTATCATTAGTTGTTTAAAAATTGAAATAACACTTTAAAATGGCTGTTTAGTTGTAACATATTTATTTTGTATTTATGAAATTGAAATTAGAACGCAAATCCTCCGTTATTCAATATTTACATAACAACTACTCATAATGTAGTGCCTTTGTTTTATCAGATTATATTTTGTTTAATACCTTATTATTTGATCCAAATATACTTCACGTAGATAACAATAAAGATGAAAACATTGAAATATATATCAATAAACTCACAGATGATTTAAATGATCATGATAACTTTAGAAAAAATGACAATTTTAAAAATAATACCAAAAGTGTCACTAATATCTTCCCAAATTATACTGAAAATACCAATGTACAAAGCACTGATGATGGTTTAAAAGACATAGCATATTTGTCATAGTAAAGAGCTTTTTAATAATGAGATTGTAAATATTGTCCTTAATAACCTCATGGCTCTAAAACGATGTGGTATTAATTACATAAGCATAGAATAAAACACAAAAAAGTTGCATGATCACAGAAAACATAAATTTACAGCTGCTCGACAATCTAATTTAATTGGGTTTTTTTAAGAAACTTTTTAAATTTTATATTAAATTGGAATGTTTTTTAAAAAAGGACATTAAATTGCCCAGGCAATTTAGAAAATATTCAAAAAAGTAAAATATTTGAATCTTGAAATCATGTTTTGTAATCTAATATTGCTATGTTAAAAGTCAAATTTGGCAATCTGGTTTTGTTATGTTAAAACCATTAATAAAGTTTATAAAAACTTAAAATTTGCTCCGATTGAAATTTTTTCAAGATAAAAGCATTTTTAATATTTAAAAAATTTTATTTATGAAATTGTATATACAAAGGATACTTTTTATAACTATTATTTTCTCTGCTGAATTGTATTTTTGTTTCAGTATATCACTTTGTTTTTGAGATTGATTCAAGTTTTATTTTAGCTTGTCAGTTTTTTTACATCTTTTTTTTTATTGTTAAACTGGAATAATAATGTCTTATAAATTGTTTTATCTCTTTTTTTTTAAACTTGCTTTAAACAACTTCATATAAGTTTTTTTTACACTTTCTGATTTCGCTAAACCATAGTCTTTGAGAAGACCATTTGAATCTTTTGATTTAATATTATTGAAAAACATAAAGCAAAAGCATAATATATTTAAAGTGTTTTTTGTACACTTTCTGATCAATCAGAAAGTGTACAAAAAACACTTCAGTTATATTGTGATTTTGCTTTATGTTTTATATTTTATGTATGATTATAAAACATAAAGTAAAAGCACAATATAGTTGAAGTGTTTTTTGTACACTTTCTGATCGATCAGAAAGTGTACAAAAAACACTACAGTTATATTCCCGATAAGAAATTTTAATGTGGGCCATATATGGCATTTGCATGCTAAACATATGCTTACCACTCTCCTTTATGGGATGGCATTGATGCGTTCCATATGAGGCGATAATGTTTATCCTACTAAAACCACACTAAATAAGAACGAACGCCACGCTTCATTTATGCGTGAAAGTTTCATGTGGCTCACATGTGGGAAGCACATGTTAGCCATATATTTACCACTCTTCTTTATGGGATAGCGTTGATGCGTCCCATATGTGGCTGTAATGTTTATCCCACTAAAACCACACTACATAAGAACGAACGCCACGCTTCATTTGTGCGTGAAAGTTTTATGTGGCCCTTGTGTGGGAAACACATGTTAGCCATATATTTACCACTCTCCTTTATGGAATGACGTTGGTGCGTTTCATATGTGGATTTAATGTTTATCCCACTAAAGACACGCTAAATAAGAGCTAACGCCACACTTCGATTGCTTGAAGAAGTCATATTTATTGCTTCACTTGTTTATCTATCGAACTGTTATAACCTATTAGTTTGCCTTATACGTAACCAAAAAAACACTACAAAAAACAAAATTATCATAAGAAAAATATACAAACAAATATTCTAAGTATACCAAATCGCAATTTATTAGGTATTGTGGTTTATCCTTCTCCGGCTAATTGTCATGTGACCTCTACACATTACCAAGGCCCGCAAAGACAGGTTCAGCTCCCCAAGAAGCGTCATAACCCGCTCTACGGACCAAGAGAAAAGTGACTTTAGAAAGAACGAAGATATGTTAGAGTGAAAAACAGAAGTAGTCGTATTAGAAGGATAGCATAGAGAAAGCAGACAGGATTGCACTCGATGTTAGGCGGTGCAATTAACTAAATTAAACTTGTAAGAATGAACTACGCTAGTTAATCATCAAAAAATCAGTTTTATTTACTAAACCATAAACTTTTTGTATTAAACCATAAAACTATAATATGCAAAGTATGAAAGCTGCATTTCCCGATTCTATCTTATTAATGTTGCAACTTGTTTGGCTTTAGATAAATACTTAACAAACAAAGGTTGTGATTTATATTTTTTTAATTTGAAACCAAGCATTTTTTTCGGGGTTTTTTTTTCCTTGGGGATTTTTTTTTTGGGGGGATTTTCCTCAGGGGATTATTTCGGGGGAATTTTTTCCAGGTAAGTTTTTTCTTAAAACCTATTTTTTTAGTTCAAAAAATTTAAATTAATGCAGGAAATATAATACGCCTCAATTAAAAAGTGTGTTTGTTTGTTTACCTATACTTATTTTTAGAGACGCATTACTATACAATTTATTTGCGGTTGCAGAAATTTGAACTATTTTAAAATACAACGTTGTTTAGGGGTTGTCCATAAATTACGTGACGCAATTTTCAACCAATTTTGACCTCCCTTTCCCCCCCCCCCCCCTCATCACAAAAATGTAATACTTAAGAATCAAGTTTTGTATGAGTTGTCACAAAACCACCAACCCCTCCCCCCCCTATCCCCTATAGCAGGACGTAATTTATGGACGAGCCCTTAAGTATAAATATAAATTTGTATTCATTAGGTATAACTTTGATTTACAAATTTTACGGAAAGTTCATTTAGAACAACAATTCTCTAATATATTCATTACAAAACCGCTCAAACAATTTTTTTTAATTTTATTTTTTTACAAAATTATAAACATTTACAGATTTTTATAATATTATTACAACAAGTAGAAGTCTTAACATATCTAGGTTTTTGTTATTTATTTTATATATTTACACTTTTTTTTATATATATAATTATTTTTATCGCTCAAACATACTTACAACAGTTATAAATTGAAAATTATCAAAACGGTAAGCCACATGATATCATGGAATATTCCAGAGTTTACAATGCATTGCGATAGAATTGTTACAATTGGTTAAAATTTAAAGATCAAAATCAGGCAAGGTCGTGAGTTTTATATGTATGGCCCATATGATAGCCACATCAAATTTAGCACTTATACATTTAAAGATTACGCCACATTAGATGGAATAGTTATGTGAACCGCATGTTCCACAAGTGGGCCACACTTATCTTCATCAAATACGTCATTCATTAACTGTATATATATATTTGAACTTTTAATCTACACGAAAGCACTATGACCACATGTGGGCAACATATACCTTTCTTGTCGTGTTGTGCTTTTCCTTTATGTTTTATAATAATATTAAATCAAAAGATTCGAATGGTCTTCTCAAATACTATCATTTACCAAGATCGATCTTGGTAAATGATAGTATTTGAGAAGACCATTCTAATCTTTTCATTTAAAATTGTTATAAAGCATAAAGCAGAAGTACAATATAATTTAAGCGTTTTAAAAATCAGAAAAAGTAGAAATATTAAGATGTAGAACACTTGTTGGTACTTTATAAGAAGCTACCATTTTTTATATTTTTTTCCTACATCGTAAACAATATAATTGCGTTTTCAATGAAGTTATAATCATTAAAGTTAATAAAACTAATTATGTAACAAACATACAAGAAGTTTCTGGTTACAAACAACGCATACAAAGTAACTCGCGGATGAAAAGCACCGCGCCTGAGGTCACAACAGAACAAAAATAAAGCAAGTTATTAGATAATAAGAAAAGTTTTTAGATATTCTGAAAAACTCGTGATACTTTTTTCTGCTTTAAATACTAATTAAAATTAAAAAGCCCACTCATTAAACATCAGCGAAGCAGTTTTGCTTCCTCGTCATAAAGTATTTTTAACCTTTTTAATTGATTTCTATCTGGTTTAATTTCTATGATTTAACTATTTCATGTTATCTTACTAAGAAGAATTGCTTCAAATATTTTAAACTGTTCAAACTACGCGAAACATAAAATAGGTATTAAAAAAACTAATTTTTTTATTTATAAAATAATTTAGCCTAGATAAAACTAAAACTTGCAAACTTTGTTAAATAAAGAACGTTTGTTTCCTTTTTAAGCAATCCACAGTGGGCCACTGACTGGAAAAAAGTATAAAAATCAAAGTCAGAATTTTGATGTCGTAATGGTTTTAAACCTTTTTATAGATATTATGAAACAATTTAAAACCTTTTATATACATCTAAAATTGTAATGAATAGACTAATTATGTGGTTAATGTATATGCAAACGTAAATTAGAAAAAAAAAAAAATAAAGCAAAAAATGTTGTTTACAAAATAAATGGTAATAATGTAACACTATTAAATATTGCGCATTGAAAATTATTTTATTGTTGAACTGTCTATTTTCTGCATTTTAAGAGTTGTTAGATTAAAATAGGTAAGAAAACAAATAAGTTATAATAATTTTAAATACTTCATTAAAAGAATATTTAAAGTGTATTTTTTGGTTTAAAAAATACAAAAAATAGAAGATCTTGTAGTATCCTGCTATTTTATATGCATATTTTGAAGCTTTTATATCCATTTTATGAAAATATGTTTAATTTAGCTGCTAATATTTGCTAAATTAGTTTTTATTTGCAATGATTTGCAAAAATATTCAGGGGCGGATCCAGCATTTTTTGGTGTTTGAGATAGCTAACTTCCAGACATGGAGCAAACTCCAAACATTTATATGTTTATACTTATATCAAATAAGGATGGTTTGCAAAAAATTGCGATGATTGGAGCCTGGGAACAAAAAACCCCCAAAATTTGAGACGTACCTGCCCCAAACGTGAGAGCAACAAGTTGATAAAATATTTTTTGTACTATTCTCAACAAGACTTATATTTATCTATAAATTTTAAATTTCATTGTAAAATATTTCAACGTTCAAAAATTATGACCATGTAAAGTTTTAATCCCCCTCCATTCGAGGGGGTTACAATTTTTATATGGTCATAATTTTTGAGCGCTAAAATATTTTACAATGGAATTTAAAATTTATTGATAAGTATAAGTCTTGTTGAGAATAGTACAAAAAATAATTTATACGAGCTGTAGTTTGCTAGCAGTTGCAAACTTTGGAAACAAGGAAGGAGAAAGGTAGTGCTAAGGTAGTTAGAAATTTATTAAAAACTCAAACTGATCATGTTCAAAATAATCCCAATGAAGCCTTAGCACTCATCTTAGATAATAATCTGAGCAAGTCTGATTATCTGCGCCTAAGGAACAATGCTGTAAGAAAAGGCTGTAATTTATATCCAGCTTATAATTATGTACGGGAAACAAAATTACTTTGTCTTCCAGAGAATAACCTATGGACTGTCACTGACTATACTGCAGAGGTCAACATGCAAGCATTGGTCAATCATACAGCACTACGTTTAATAGAATGTTAGGCAGAAGTTATTAACTTCTTAGAAGATCTTCAACGAATGATCCTAAGGTCCAAAGTTGGCTTTGATGGCAAAGCCCTTATACTCAAATAACAACAGAAGAAGAAAACAGAAATATTACAAATGAAGCCAGCTTATTCCTCACTTGCTTTGTGCCTTTGCAGTTATCCGGATATTGTAATGGCGAAAAGAAGATTATTAGGTCAAACCCTTATCCATCATCCACTTTATTTTGCAGACCAATAAGATTCTCCTATAAAAAAGAAACATCAGATGTATTAAAAGAAGAAGAACAATTCCTTTACAATTCAATAGAAAAATTATTTACTGCAAAGTATGACAAATTAACAGTTCTGCACAAAATTGAAACTACAATGGTGGATGGGAAAGTTGCCACAGCACTATCCACAGCAACAAAATCATTGCAATGCTGCTCAGTTTGTGGTTGCAATTCAAAAAAAATGAATGACTTAAATACTGCAA